CGTGTGCCTATCACTGTCACATCAAGACAAGACAACTGAAGTGCACGTCCAGGCACCATATCACTGTCCCCGTTCACCCACTCTGCCCCGTTTCCCTCTAGACTTAAGTACTAGCCCCTATCTATCTATAGCCCTAAGTATTACAACTTCAAAAGGCCATATCTTCTCCAACTCTTAACGGATTTGGGCATTTCAAAAGCCTAGTAGCATCCGGAGCTCTTGAATAAGCCCACCAAAGGGAAGCACAAAGATTACTAACCACAACTCTAGAAAATGTCGATTAAGCCTATAACCCAAGTAACCACATCACACGGCGGGTCAGCAGACCTATTTGGATATGAAACCACGCATCTCAACGTATAGAAAACGTGCACGAGAGACCGAGAAGGCATGTGCTTGGGTACACACTTGCATATAGGCTCACTGACATGCCGAGGAAGTGCGCTGTGTGGAGCTCTATTGCGTTGTTTTACTCGCAGCACTGTGCAAGTGTTGATGGGTCTGAGCACATAGCTGTGAGGCTGTCGACCCTCGGCTCGCAAAGTTCAACGTGTTGCGAGGGCAGCGAAGGAGGCCCACAATACTGAGAAAGTGCTCAGAGGTGTCTCGCTATAAAGGTGACCATAGGGAAGTTGTGAAAAACATACTTGTAGGCAATGTTGTAAAAGTGTTGCTGCATCAGTGCACTCACCATTGTTTTGCCATGTTTTGAGAGGGATACTGGACTCACAAATATTGAAACACCACTCAAAAGGACCTAACAAGGCCATCAAGCCATTTTTGGCAATTATGGTGGGCTTTTGTGATCATAGTGTGAATGGCCTGTGGTTGTTGTTCTGATGGTGAATCGCAACAAATCGATCTGTTGCGATATCGCTCAATTAGCATGTGAATGGACCAACGAAGCAGATGCGGACGGTACACCAGCCAACAGCCACAAGCGAATTGGGACACAGTAGCAAGTCACTGGTTGGTTCTGCGCTGGGGAATCTTCCCCTTATTAATCTGTCTGGTAGAGGTGGTCAGGGAATGAGCTGGAGGCAATGCAGTTGTAGACACATCCCAAACAAACACGTCCCCCTATCGCCAACCATCCAGTCCGTGTATGGTGACAATGCCTTGACAACGGACGCTTTGTTGATGACAATAAATACATTGTTAATGGCTTTCTGCCAAGGGCGACATGCTTTGGATAGGATGTCAATGCAGTTTGAATTCCGTCTCCCCATCCTCAATCCTAATCTTACCATATTTCGCTCCATCCCAATCTGCCCAGAGTGTGAGTTCGGTTTAGGTGGGGGAGCTACCTACACAATTGAGTTTTGCCAAAAGTGATATATAGTATTGTACTACACTGAATTAAACACTAATTAAGCGCCTGGGAAAAGCGTCCATGCAAAAGTCGGGTTGATGATGGTGGTTTGTACTTTTGTGCTCTGAACATGGCAATATTGTGCATGATCATACAGCACTAAACAAATCGGCGAATTTTCATGAGAGGCTTCCCTCTCCAATGCTATCTACAAGATTTTGTGGAAGATGCACGCAATCTTCGACAATTTGAAGGCTCAAAAGCAGATCGATTTATATTATTTGGGCTGGGTGTGTCTTGTGCGAGAAACAGGAAGAACCCAGAAGCCAAAACTTCCGGAAGCTAGAACTGGTGCACTTTTGGCTTCCAACGAAGTCTTGGAAGGGTCATTGAGGAACGTGCACAAGTCATCGCCAAGGAATGCCATTGTATGTGATCACTTGCAGTACTCATGAGTCAGTACTAGTGCTGAGATGCATTAGTGAGATATACCAAACATACGCTAGTATTACTGTCCATATGGTCAGTTCAGCACTGGCCGGGTTTTGCGTGTTGTTAAATTTTTCTATAGGGAATTACGCGATGCATTTTTCTCCATTCTGTCCAATCCTATTCCGGCCTTCGACCCCATTGACAAAGAATACCCTTTGAAGACATGTAAAAGAGTGGGGAGCTCAGCAAAGCATCGAGCAATGGTTGAGACTGGACTGAATTTTTTCGTTTTACACTGGAAACACAGAGCAATTTGCAGGGCACTGTTTTGACGCCCTTGTGTTGTCGTTGTCTCTGCTCTTCAACCTCTAGGCTCCCCGCTTCCATTCACATCCATCTCACGAAGCCAATTTTGGCTTCAAACATCCCATCAGCGCGGCCTCCCACCATCGCCAATTGCATCACATTTCTTGGGCGTTCCTTTGCCGTTGAAATCCAGTAATAAATCAGCTAATCGGTAGAGCATTTCACGATATCCAGGCTGCCTCTTTCAACCAGTTCATGCTCCGTGTCTCCAATAACGCCATGAAGCCACATTGTCGACGTTATCGTCAAAAGAGCGCCAAATTCACAGAATTCTTCAACTGTCCATCTCATGTGCTTGCTTTGCATGTTCCTATCGTTCAAATTCCTTTTACTTACTTCCCCATGCGCTCAGTTCATGGACCCAATTGCGTTTGCAAACATTCAAAGTTGATCGAGTTCTGCAGCCGATGACCCAGTATCTTGGCCAGAGGTTTGTCATCGTCACTCCAATTTCTCGTGATCACTTCTCATTTCTCTGGCACGATCTGCTGGACTGTGCCTCCTGTCTCCAATCCCCCAATTCGTCATTGACGAGGAATACCAACAACTTTATTGCAAGCATCGTGCGGTGGCGCAGGCCCGGCTCTGAGCACCGGTGCTCGCTGTGTCGTCAATGCGGCACCGTTTTCGTTTCTCTGTCGGATACCTTGCAGCAAATCATTTTCGTTACTCTCCTTCGCTGCTGCGCTGCTTGGCAGTGCAGCGTTTACCTTCTGGGGTACCAATATTCGTATTGGTGCTTGGATTAATATATTAATCCAATACTCAGAAGGAATATTCAGGAATATATATTCCTTCAAGATAGCGGATCCGGGCGGTGTTCCTTGACGCCGATCGCTGCTCCCGCCTCACCAATCGCCTGCAGTTCTCTCCCAAGGTCGACAAGCCAAAACAAAGTCGAACGACTATGGCTAAGGACGACGGCAGGTATCGACAAGCCTCAGTCCGACTCAAGTGCAATGCACAAGTATCGAAACCGGGAACTCCGCGAAATTCGAGGGCGCAGCCTTCTGTAGCTGTGCGCGCTCGCGTGCAATCACTGGAGCTGCGTTGAGAAGCTCCGAGCGAGTCGCATGATGAGCAGCGCTTTGAACAGAAAGATCGTGCACAAGCGCGTCCAGATATAACTCCCATCAGTTCTCCAATGCCGCATGAGGTCCAAACAGGCTGTGCCTCCAAATTGGGATGCGCACGGCCCCTCCAAGATAACTATGCGGGTACATCACACCGCCTCCCAAACCCAACAGTTAAGCCTGCTGCCCGCCTCAGTCCCCAGGTTTCATGCGAGCTAGATTGCCCCATTGGACAGGACCCACCCCCGTTCTCAAGGCCTGCTCTCGAGCGAGGACGAAACTGTAACCCGGGTGATAGCGCAACAGGCTTCATCTCAACAATTACTTCTGCGAAATTTTCACTATTATAGTGAATATAATATGGTGGAGTCGAATGCGTTCGACTGTCAATGCGACGAGCAATTCTCGGAACGCGGCAACGGCAGCCAGCCTTCGCCACTGCGTGGGTGTCGTTGCTGTTGTGATGACCATCGCCTGTCCAGGTTTATCTGACTTGATTGCCATCCATCGTATAAAACCGCAACCTGAACATCAACAAATTGATTCACTTGTTCATTCTCAAGTGCTTGTTGCAGAAAGGCAGCATGCACCTTCATATTATCGTGTCTATCCGCATTTTCATCGACAGTGTAGGATTGCCGTGCACAGCCAATTAGAAGCCCCTGGTAAGCTTTCTGCAAGCACGGGGACGTCTATGGGACCATGCGGCATGTGGCGATCTCTTCAAGAAAGGATCCAAGCAGCTCGCCGATTCCCGGCGCTATTGATTGGGTTAAAGCCCTGTGAACGGATCTTTAGGGCACTACATTTGTGCAGATATGGTGTGCCTTTGCAAAGTTCTGTTGCCTTTTGGAAAACATACCTGCCCACAATAAACAATCAAAACTCATCAATATTTTTAAAAATGTTGGCAAAGTTGCACATGCTGCCACCGATCTCGCTCTATTTTCAACTAATAACTTAAATCAGACTGCAGCGACCTTCCACTCAGCACAATTGCATCTTTGCGCAGAGAAACGTTGAGTATTCCACTTACAACCCCACAAACCACGTGCTTGCTGTTAGCAGATTGTAAGGTTTTGTTCTCTCCAATTGACAACGCATTGCGGCTGTCTTTGCCAAGCCACGAATCTAGTTTTCCTGAACAGGTATTTGCCACTTGTGGCAAACGAATCTTCGACTTCCGCACATTCTACCTGTGGCGTCCAATTGTCACAGTCGCGAGAATGGCATTGATGCCATGCCCGCCCGCAACCTCACTCAGCCCAGAGTTCCGATCGTCGTTAAAGTTCCGATCAACAATGCTGGCGTGGACACGCACGCCACCGAGCGAGCACCTCCGGTCGACAAGCTCGACAGACCTAGCAGTTTCAATCTTCCGCAAGATGACAACGAGGCGGCTCAGCGTGCATTATGCAAGGAACCAACTTCAGACCGAAATACAGGAAAAAACCAGATCAAAAGCCAACAGAAAAGGAAGTAGAAGAAAAAGAAATAAGAAAATAAGAAAAAAATAGGAGAAAAAGGAACAAAGAAGAAAACTTGATAGACGGCCGCACGCGCAGACACAGTGCCCAGCCAGCCACCGTAGACCCAGTTTGCAGAACCGTATCTGCGCCTCAATACATGTATGCCATGTTCCTGAACAGGAGATGGGCAAGCTTGGCCACAGGCCCCTCCCTCCACACCCATTTCCCCCCCCCCCCAAACCCGCCCGCTGCGCACCAGCCCGCCAGCCCGCACGGGCCCCCGGGTCCGACACGCCGGGGCCCCCTGACGCCGCTCGGCCCGCCTTGCGCCCTGGATGGGCGTCCGCCATGGCCTTCGAGGGCAACACCACCCCCTTCGAGGTGCCGGACACCGACACGGTGTACATATCCAACCTGCCGGCCAGCATCACTGAACAGGACCTGGCGGAGTACTTCGGCTCGATCGGCGTGATCAAGACCGATAAGAAGCTGCGCAAGCCCAAGATCTGGCTGTACCGCGACAAGGCCACGGGTGCGCTTAAGGGCGACGGGACTGTGACCTACGAGGACCCGTTCGCGGCGGCGTCGGCGCTGCAGTGGTTCAACGACAAGGAGTTCAAAGGTGCGTACGGCAAGGGCGAACTTCGAGCCCATGGCGATCAGTGGGCGTGAATGTCGGTGCGGATCGGTGCGTAGCCGGCGCTGAGCCTCAGCTGAGGGAGGCTCGGGCGGCGAGGGGCGGCGGGGAGGGGCTGGTTGGCTTCTTTTCGCGTTGCCTGGGGATTGCGAAAACTGTGCCCCCCACCCCACCTCTGGCCATGCGCTGATTTGGAATTGGAGGGGTGGTGTTCGGATCCTGAAGATCTCAAAACCGCGAGCATTGGTGCCAAACAGGGCGCCGATGAGCCACAGATCTGGCGGGGATGGCCAGGTCGGATGATGGGTGCCGTGTTGCGTGCAGCCTCCGTTTTTGGGCACGAAAAAAGCGAGCCAAAGCACATTGAGCTTGCATCGTGACAGGCACCATGCTGATGTGCAGAACTGGGTTCATGGGGAATGAAGTAACACCTGTAAGAAGCTGCTATGCCCGTCATCGCGTGCCAGCTGCAAGAGCGGGGATTTGCCCTGTGCTGTGATTATGCTGTCAATGGAATAAGGAAGCCTCTGCTGCCACACCAATGCTCTCCTAGTAAAACCCACCCCAGGGCGGGATAAGACAATTAATCATCTTCATGTGCCTAGTAGGGCAGAAATGTACAAAATAGGGTGTGGACTTTGGACACTGAGAGCTGTTGGACCAGCCATGTGCTTTGATCTGTTCGATGCACTTGTAAGTCAAACAGGGAGCCTCGCTCGATGTGCACAGACAACATGGAAAGCAAAACAGCACGGAACAACACGGAATTGTATCTGACAGTGGCAACCCCCTTCTCCAGGCTCTGTGCTGAAGGTATGCCTGGCTGAGCGAAAGGAGCCTGACCACTTCCGGAGGGGTGGGGGCTTCAGGGGCGGGAGCAGGAGATTCGATGGCCCCCCACGGGGTTCTGGGCCGCCATCATGGGGCGATGGCCGAGGCATGGGTCGGGGGAGTGGCAGGGGCTATGAAGGCCGAGGGGAGGGTAGGGGCTTTGAGGGCAGAGGGGAGATTGGGGGTGGCCCTGGACAAGAGTGGCAGTCGGGCAGAGGTCATGGAAGGGATGGCGGCTGGGGAGACAGAGGCCAGTATGGGGCCCGCAATCAGGGCCATGATTCATGGGGCATGACACAACAGGCACCAGGAGCCCCACAGCCCCCACCGCAGCGCCAGCAGGAGTGGCCGCCACAACAGCAGCGGTACCAGCCACAGCCAGCACAGCATCCACAGCCCCAGCAACAGCAGGTGCCCACACCCTGCCCACCAATGCCTGTGCAACCTCAGCAGCCACAACAACAGGCGCATGAATCACAGTCTATGGTGGCAGATCAGCAGCAGCAGCAGCAGCAGCAGCAGGGATATGGAGCGTATGACCAGGTCAGACAACCTGCAGTGTCGCCTTATATATCAGCCACTGTGCGTTGCAGGCCTTGTGTCAGAGGACCATTGCTGTTGAGCGTTTCAACAGTTGCACTTGCCATTTGGTGGTGGTGCTAGTGCATCTCTCAACAGTCGCATATGCAGATGGGGGTACAGAAAATAGATGTAACAAGGGATCCAGTCTGCCATCCATTCCGGCTGAAAACGGTCGCAATAGACCTATACACCTAATGGACTCCTTCTGGCGAATGTCCTGACGTCGAATATGGTGCCCATTTGCCCAAAGCAAAGGTTATGCAGAGCAGTGTGAACTGAATGGGAACAAGAATGCCTCAAAGAAAGACCCCTGTCCATAACTCCACACCACACATCACCCTCTTATGGATGCAGGGGTTGTGTTTGTCACATTGTGGTGATTCAAGCCAGTGCATGTCCATGCAGGCTCAAACACAGCATCATTTTGCCCAGATCTGATTTGGACAGGTCTGCTGACGACTGTTGAATGTGGCTGCAGGGATACACAGGTGCTGCATATGGCTATGATGGTGTGCCGCAGCCCTCTCCTGAGGGGATGAATGCTGAATGCACAGTCATCAACTCCCAAAAGACTGGGAACTCTGAGGTGGGAGGGCAGCCGGCGGCTCAGGAGGCTGGACAGTGGGCAGGGGATGCCATGGTTCCGTCAGGCAGAGGTAGAGGGAGGGGGGGACCAACAGATGGCGATGGCATGGGCCGAGGCAGGGGGCGAAAGGTGTGCATTGTGCCTGTCAGTCGGCTTATCTGTTGGCAGCGTATCTTGAGTGATGCATGTTCATTCTTTGTCTTGTTCATCAGGATGCTTCCATCATGGTTGATGCCACCTTGGTTGGGTGGCATTCCAGCCTTTAAAAAAAAAACTAGTCTTTTGCCGTGTCTCAGGGCCGTGCCAAGTCAAAGGAAGTCGCTGTTCTTTGTTGCGAATGGAATGTGAGCATTGTATGCCTTCCATGTGTGGAGCGATGCATTGGTTGTGTCGCATGTTGCTTTTGGCACGAGCAGCACGTCAGGCAGAACAGTACTCTCCATGGAGGGTTGTGCCTGTTTTTTTGCCATAATTCCTTCCTTGCACGAATGTGCATCTTTGGCAGGGAATGTCAGCTCACCAAAGGTATTGATATTTTGTGCCCATCTTTGTGGTACCCAGATTCGAGGTACAATTTCCTCTGCCAAGATAGTTCTAGATAGTTTCTAGATAGTTTGAATGCTTGTGAACAAATAAACAATCTTGGCCAAGTTGTTGCTGTTGGAGCTGTGCAAGGGCATTGCCTGCCATGCATTGGCAACAGTTTCTTTCTTTAGCACAGGAACCTGTTCGACAGAATGTGTCTCCCGTCCAGGTGACGGCAGCCCCTCAGGGTCCGCCAGGCCTGTTTGGTCCTGATGACTGGCCGTGCCCCAGCTGTGGCAATACCAACTGGGCTCGTCGGCCAAGGTGCAACTTGTGTGGCTGCGCCAAGCCGGGCACCCAGGACATGAAAAGGGAGGGCCAGGCGGGCGGCTTCAAGGAGTTGGACGAGAGGGAGATCGAAGAGGCACGGAGGAGAAGGAGGGAGCAAGATGATGATGATAAAGAGCTGTGGGTCCATGTCCTTGGACAGCAATGAACAACCATTTGTTTCCCCATTGATGTTTTGATGAATTTGTTCCACAGCAATGCTCTGAAGCTAAATTGGTAGCAATACAGTTATATTGGAGTGGTGAGCCACATACCAAGGAAGCTCTCTGGTTGGCAGGAACTTGGATTGAAAGGTTGCCGACTGCTGACCTGATCAATGAGCAGAATGTGGTAGCCCATTTTGCTATGTCTTGCTTGTTACGAGACAAGAGCAGGAACGATTGTCAACAGCAGTCTGTCAGGGAGTGTAAACGCGATGTACAGTTTGGAACCAGAAGAGGGAAAAATGTTGCCAGTGACTGGCAAGGGATACAGGGAAATTTCAAGATTTGCAGGTTGGCATCTGGAGAGTATGGATCCCATTTGTGAACGTGAAGAAATTGGAATGAAACTCAGTAATCAATGGGCCATGGCTTGGAGCTGTTTTGCTGGAAGCTGTGCCTCTGCAATTTCCCTGTGTGAGAGGGTAGAGGGGTTCATGGAAAAGGGGCAGTGGTACAATTTCCAAGCCGCCGATTTGTGAAATTACCCTGTTGCGAGGCATGCAATTTGGCATTTGTTGGCTACATCATCCCAGTCACACTTTGATGTACATGAGGATGAGGCGACTGCAGGGCGCTGTGCTTCACATTTTGTTGTGTTTGTTGTGTCCCCATTTCATCGAATAGTGATTCCAAGGGGAGAGGTTAAAGAAAGGAATGATCTCCTTCAGGTATGATGATTATGGACGTGTCAAGAAGAAGTACAGAAGTGACAAGGACAGGGCAGCAAGAGAGCAGGCGGCTCTGGAGAGGCTGCGAGGTGGCTACGACCCATCTCCATCAGGGCAGGTGGCGATCAATTGGTGGGGGTCAACTATCAGCTACTATTAGTAGTCGGTGACCAATTGCTGCATGCCAATGGCCATATAACTACCGCAGACATCTATAGTGTGCTAACCGCCACTGGGTTTCATTCACCAATCAATATTGACAGAAGTCAAAGGGCAAGTATGGGTAGTGCCCCTCTGGGAGCACAAGCTATTGTGATGCTTGGTTGAGTTGCTGCGAAGCCATGCACTTGTGTATGTGCCAGCACATCAGTACGCATTGCTGGTGGCTTTGTAGGAGCAACTCTTGCTGGCTCAAGGTTTGAAGGAGAAGGACAGGGACAAGAATAAGGAAAGGGACAAGGAAAAGGAAAAGAAAAAGAACGGCAGGAGCGCTGGAGAGAAGGAAAAGGAGAGCAGCAAGCACAGGCACCGGAGCAGGTCGAGGGACAGGTGAGCGACTCGATTGGTGGGATCTTGTTTGGGGTGCCGCTGCGTTGCTCCACACAGCTCAGCTTGGTTTGGCTTGTCTTTGCACCAGGCAAAATGGTATTCTTGTACAGATTCGTATTCTTGCACAGAATCGTCCCACGCACTGACCAGCGTCCCTATGAATGGGATGTTTCAGGCCTGTGACCATATTGTGGCAAGCATGCCACTGTTGTTTTGCATCGCTTTGTGGAGACATCGTGCCACAGCGGGGAACATCCCATCCGCAAAAAATGGCAAAAATGTGAATTGGAACTGGCTCTGTTGTGGACTAAGTGGTGCATGTGTAGTGCTTTGTTCACCCTTTGGGACAAATGTTAGAAGTTTGTTTTTCGCCGTTACATACCTTGCCCAGTGGCTTTTCAAGTTTCCATCAGACACAATCATGCCACACAGAATGAACAACAGACTGCAAAGTTGTCCTTAATTGAAAAATAAAAACAGGTGTGGCTATTAATGGGTGCATCGAATACAGGGACAAAGAGAAGCATCGAGACAAGGGAAGGGAGCGTGAGAGGGAACGAGGCAGAGATCGTGAGGGGAAGCGCGACAGGGAGAGGGAGCGGGGCCGAGAGAGTGACAAGCACAGGCGGTAGCAGTGCTGTGGTGAGCAAGAATCTTTGCTTAGGAACCTCTTTTGCAAGGCTATTTCTTCAATCGCACTTGAGTGCTACGGTCTCGTGTTTGCATGCACACACCCCTGGATGAAGAGTTTTGGGTCATGCACTGTCATGCACTTTTACAGCTCTTCTGGTCACTGTGTCCAATTGTGATCACATTCTTTAGTGGTGGGATGGAAAAGGCTGGGCTGAACAATGCGTTTTGTGTTGTGTGCTTCAGTGCTGCACTGTGATGCTGTTGCGATAGGCATCATGGGTGCTCTGTTGGATTGTTTGGTGCTGCCAGGGGAATATGATCCTGTTGCAGTTCTCAGTCAGCAATCCTCAACTGCAACAGATGGGAAGCAACCCTGTGGCTTTGTGTCGATGCTCAGGTTGGCTGCACAACAGCCTTATGTAGATCCTTATTGCCTGCAGTCGCAGTGTGACAGCTGACTCTTGAATATGATGCAGTATTTAGGAATAGAAAGGCAAACAGAAGTCAGCATAGGATGATCACTGACCTTGTGCTGATCAGGATTTGTGTTGGGCACTACTGACAAGCTCAAGTTGTGGCCTCTAACGCGCATGTGTTCCTGCTCTTCAAGGAACAACCTGAAGCTGTGCCAGAAGCTACAAGAGAGGAGCAGAAGAGAAGAACCCAAGAAGCGTTGAAGCGTTGAAGCGAAAAATTCTGAGTGTGAGTTGTGTGGGTTTGCCCTCGCTGCAGGCAGGCACTTGGACAACAGGGGCTGGTTGCTTCATACAGTGGTATCTCCTTTCTCAAATAGACGTTTGGCATAGTACTAGGCTTGGTCAAGGCACTGATTGGCCACCACACAGCACCATGGACTGCTCATATTTAGACACAGGGGCAGCCCGCTTCCAATTTCAGTGGGCTACCCTCTGTGGTGTGCTCTCTACTCAAACAGAAGAAACGCTGGGCTGGTCATTCTGCTGGAATCTTATGGGTGGGTGTGGATGGGGTTGGCGGATGGCGCTGCTGTTTGTTGGCATGCATGTCTGCGTGAGTTTGGATAAAACCCCGCAACACAACACAGTACAGTGCTCCAGAGCATGCTTTGCGCAGCACAGCACATTAGTGTTGTTGCAGTGAGAGACTTGAAACTTGCGGTGGCCATTGAAGCTGCCTCACAGTGGCGGCAGTCCCATTCCAGTGACATGTGGCTTGCATGCTATCAGGATTGCCCTCCTGGGCAAGGTGGAGGGTGGTCACCGCTCTCTGGTCATGGAAGCCGCGTTGCCACATTCCAGATATGGCAAAGGAAGCTGGCTGGTGTGCCCTTTGCTGCAGAGCCATCATCGGTCCAGTACACTTGTTTTAAGTTCTGTCTTGGAAGTGTGTGACCAAGTTCGTTGAACATTGCCCATGCACCTGCACGCCTTTGGCACTTCATGCACCATGACCTGCTCACCATGCTGCAGGCCTCAAAGTTTGCTGGTTGATCGGATAAGGGTGTGTGGTTCAGGCAGCAGGAAGGTGCATCGGCTTGCAGGGGGTTTCATGGCCAATTCCATGCTTCTGCAAACTGGTAGTGGTGCTTGCAGTGTTGCAAACCGTCACCACTGTGTAACGCTTGGTCCACAAGCCCCTGGAGACTCTGATCCACATTGCTGAACTGACAGGGGCACCAGCACCCAGTGAAACACATGCATGATCCTTTGATACCTCTATGTTGCTTTTCTTCTGATCACCATTTTGCTTTTCTTGATCCTTTGTCATTGCCTAACCATAGCACAACACAGCCCTTGGAAAGCGATGCAGGTGTCGAGTCCGCACGCAGATAGTCCAAAATACCATCGTCACAAACGCTCAATTCCAAATGAAGGGCACAACTTCAGGGCAGGTGGGCGGCGGCGAAGCGCCATTGTGCCTGCCGACTGGAGAAAGGCCATGCTGAGTAGACGGCAACCCGCCCCGAAAGTGGCCACAGCACTGTGACCCGGTGCCCGGTTGCGCTTTGTTGTTTAATGTGGCGCCTTGCTTCGAAGAATCGGCTCCCGGCGGCCAATAGACGGAATGGCCGTGGAACATGAAAGCAAGGATGCTGAGAATTTCTTGCAAAAGCCTTAATTTCTGTCAGGATTATTTGTCAGCTATGGCTCGGGAATCCTTGAAACCAGGCGCCGTACCGGCCGTGTGAAGGCGCAGTCCCTGGCACAACGCCGGTCGGCCGCCAGCCAACCGCCACCGAAAAGCTGAAGGCGATTAGATCCCAAGGCAGAACGCTGCGCAAACAGACGATGGAAACAAACACGGAACGCCCCCTGAAGCTCCCCCTCCCTGGCTTCCCCTGCGTCCCTGCTCGCCCTGGCACAACCGCAGTGTGGTTGGGCGTGGTTGCCACACCTAAGCCGAATCCGTCGTGCCATTGGCTGGTCGCACTCGGCGCCAAATCTTCCACGTCAGGCCCAGGCCTGCCCGCACGTGGGCCCACGTGGACTGCTGTCCCCTCCCCCTTGCCCAACCAGGCGGGCGCGGATGCCCCAAAAGTACAACGGATGGTGATTTGAGCGGGCCGGATTTTCTTCCCTTAGGCTTTCGGCCGGGAGGACGGCCGCCCGAGGAGGAGCGGGAGGCAGGCGAGGGAGGTCGGTGGCGCCGCCGAGGCGGGTCGCGGCGGGGTAGGCGCATTGCTTATTTCATTTGTGGGCGAGCCTCTTGATCGGCGGGGGGGAGATGGGGGTGGGGATGAAGAGGGCCACCGGCAGGGCGTACAACGTGTGGACGGCGGGGGAGGAGGATGCCCTGCGGGCGGGCGTGCGGCGACACGGCGTCGGCGCCTGGGAGACGATCCGGCAGGACGAGGAGTACCCGGCGCTGAGGTGGGGGAGGTGCCGGGGGGCGGGGGGGGGGAGGAAGTGGGGGGATTTCTGTGCGAATTTCGGATGTCGGTGATCGGGATGTGGATCTGGATGGGAGGCTGGGGGGGAGATGTGGGAGGGATGAAGGCGGGGATGGCAGAGGTTGTGTGTGTGTGTGTGTGTGTGTGTGTGTGCGGAAATTTGTGTGTGGTCATTGGGGGATCCGGCCTTGCCGTAGGGCTGTGACGGGAAGCCGTAGGGAGTTACGGGGGAGGCGACTGAATGGCTCTGGCGGTGGTTGTCGATCGGCGCGATCACGCGGCGCGCGGAGTGGGGGAGGCGGGCGACTGTTGGTGGGTCGGCTGAGTTGTTCCTGTGGTGGCGCGGAAATCTGGCCAGGAAGCGCAGCGGGGTGCAGCTGAAGGACAAGTGGCGGAACCTGGTGAAGTTCCGCAAGCTGGGGGAGGAGGAGCTGCGCGGGCTGCCGAGCCGCACGGGGGGGCCGTGGAGCCGCAGGTGAGGGGGGGAAGGGCGGGGGGCGCTGCGTGCGTCCGGCGGTTGTCCGTCATCGCCGCGGCGGTCGTTGGCGCCTCTCTTTCGATCCTTTTTCGCCGACTGGGTGATCGACCCAACGGAGCCCGCTGGGCGGGCGCGGGAAGCCGTGCGGAAACATGCGGATGCCTCCAGAGGCGGCGGTGTGGGCGACGTGCGGACTGGAGCGCGTGGTACAAATTGCCTAGCCGCGGGCGTGCCAGCACTAGGCCGTTTCGTACGCGCTCCATTCCGTGCGTATGCACAGACTCCTCGGGGAATTTAAGTGGAAAAGGAGCCGAACATCGGGTTGGTGGGTCCATGGTGGGCTCTGTGGTGCGCGCGGAGACGCTGCACGTACGCGATTGGCTTCATTGTCGCCTGCCCTGTCCTGTATCTGGGGCCCATTCGCAGGGTGCTGTGTCATGCTGCGCAGGCCCTGAACTGCGCTGTGGCGAGTCCCGCCCAACCTCCAGGAAGTTGCTCACCCGTCTCGTGGCGTTCGAAAGCCCAGTGGCTGAACATGTCCCGCGAATGGTGCTTGATTTTTGCCGAATCTATTGGCAAACGATGTGGCATGCCCTTTGTGATGTGGCCGTCGCCCTTCACAGCACGTTGTGGACTCGGTGTCCTCCACGCTGTTGGCTCTGCTAGTCATCGTAAAGTTATGAACTAAAGTTTTTCTGGTAAAGTTTCAAAATTGCTTTAAGCCCAAGCTGTCAACCCAGTAGCATGCATTTGGGCGGGATTCTCCAGGCAATGTGCTCATCTATCAAATTCCACATTGTAGGAGGGCTGCCATCTGTCCATCAGGTGGCATTGTGTCTTTATTTTGGAGAATGGCATGGCTGCATATTGTACACTTCAACAATGGTTGCTGATTTGCTATACAAATGTGGGGGAAGTTCGATGGGAAGTAGGGCAGCATGTTTGCAGGATTGTGCAGCACATACACACAGCCACAACGTGTGCATCCTGAGCCACTGTCAGCTTCAGTGCAGAATTGAAGACTAAGGTTGCCTTTTGTGGATTGTGCTCAAAGGGGGAGCATGAGGCACGAACTCCAAGGGGACGGGGTGGGTGCAGAGAGGAATGTCAGTGCAACCTTCCAGGTTGAGGAGACGATCGCCCGTGTGCAGCGGACGTGCAATGCAAATTGCGTAGCCGACAAGAATGGACACGATGCGTCAGAAAAAGTGGGTGTGTGCTTGTAGGGTTGTGACATTGCCAGATTCGGAGAAATGGCTGCGTCCATGGTCTCAATAAGTGCCCGAATATTTCTCTTCTTTGGTGTTGCATTTTCCTTACCAGGGCAGGTCAGCACACAGGTGCACCCAGAAGGCAATGGCAGGCATCTGGTACTTCCGGAGTATTGTGTGCCACCCATTTGTTCATGCCTGCCCTGTCGCATGGAGCAGACAAGGAGTGGGAAGTCCACATCCCATGGAAGCATGCCATTTCAAGCAGGAAACGCAGCCCTGATACAGATGGGGTAGCCAGCTCGAATTGAGTTTGTCTCTTGTAGGCATTGGGAATGGGAGGGATGGTTTCAGAGGCACATGTGCATCTGGTTTGCGGAGAATATGGCTTTGGCACAGTTTGTATGCATTGGACATGTTCCATCATCGTAACCCTCTTGAATTACATTCATCACATGAGAATGCAATGCTCTTTTATTAGAACTGGCTATGCCGGGCACTGACTCCAGGCACGTTATTTGTTGGTTTCTTTATTGTTTGTGTGCATTCATGCCACATGTACTGCACTGGGTGGCAGCAAGATGACCACAAGCAATTGTGGTTCGAATGTTGTCATTTTACTTGGAAGTGAAGTACATTCACTGCACCAGAGAGCTCAAGGTTGCATGTGCTTCATTGGAGAATCGTTTCAATGTCTTGTTAGCCACTTGTGGCTCTTTGCTGTCTTGGGCAGTGGTGCTCGCGGTTGTGTTTGTTGTCATTTTGTGTTTTGATGCGCTTGGAAGTTGGCCCACTTTTGTCTGAGAAAGAGAGCCTGAAGGAAGTGTGCAGGGGTTGCCTGTTGTGTGGCATGTTAGCGCTTTCCTAGAAATCTTTACAGGCAGATGTGTGTTCAGCATCTGTTTGAGAATGATGGCTCCCTCTGGCTGCTAAATTTTCTTTCCTTTAGTTGTTCATTTTGGGTTGTAGGGTGCATCAACTTGTATTCATAAGACAGAATGAGCAATTGGATGACCTTGTGAAGTGCATGATTGGGTGCGCTCAGGTTCTTTGTTTACATTGGGCGACCCCGACATATCATACTCAAGCCCCAGGTGATGGACTTGATGTGTGCAGCCGCAGTACAGTAGGGGTCCCTATATAGCGGCCCCCCCCCTAGCGCCCCCGGGCCCCAATTGCGCCCCCTTTTTGGCTTGTTGGCATTTCTGTAGCACTTCACGCAGCTTTGTTGTGCAGAGGGACTACGGACTAGTACTGGGTGCCCCCCGTTTAGCGACCCCCTTGTCACCATTCCCCTAGTACTTTATTTCGCTGCGACAGGCCCCAGCGCCCGCGACTTCAGTGCTGCGGCTAAATCGCTGGCACCAAAGCCAGTATGGGCCTGGGCCTTGGCAGGCCAGATATAGTGCAACCCCTACACCGGCGGCCAAGGTACCCCCTACACTGGGAGCCAGGATACCCCCTATACCGGCTATCAGGTTTCCCTCTACACCGGCAGCTAGGGTACCCCTTACACAGGCGGCCAGGGTACCCTTTACACCGGCTGCTTAGGGTTACCTCCTTAACACAATAGCGCCCCTGGCCCCCAACAGCGGCCCCCTTGGGGAGGGCCAGCTACGTAGGGACCTCTACTGTATGTTGACCCAAAGCTGTATGCCAACAAGGCATATCATGCATTGCTGATGTGTTGTTGGATTCCTTTGTCCAGCAGCGTCGGTCTGTGCGCAGTTGTGCCCGCGGCCCCCACCGCTTTGACGAGTTCTTCACAGACTTTGATGGCGTTGACGGCGAAGGTTGGGGCAAGAGGAAGGTCCCCCGGGGGCATCACAGGGCCCAAGAGTGCAGAAAGCTTGCTCCACGTGCTGAGGACCGACGCTATGGTGGGCACATGGTGCTGTGTGTTGCTGCTGTTTTTGGCTAGATGACACAATGCCTCCTTGGGGAAAATATTTGGCTTCCAACCATGCCAAGTGTGAATGCACGTGTCCACTGCATGCAACAAGAAATGAAACACTGATCATGGCTTGTGTCCACAGAATTTGTAAGACAGAGTTGCTTTGGCAGTCCACAAGGACTTTGCAAGGTCCCATGCTATGAGGGCTGCCAAGGGCCCCATAGCTCCTCAAGTTTCATCCCTTGAGTGGGACCAGGTTTATGCTGCTCAGCTTTGTTGAGTGCCCATGGCCAGTTGCTGCTGCTGCCACAGGCATCTATGATGTTCGGAGGTACAGCTACCACAGCATGCCAAACAACGCTGGGCGCAATGACGACAGGAAGCTGGAGATGGTGGCTGGAGGCAAAGAGGAGGAAGAATCGTTCGTGGTGGACTGTCCCTGTGGAGTCACATACGACGATGGGCAGATGATGATCGAGTGTGAGCTGTGCAAAGCGTGGGCACACATTCGGTGTTTGAAGGAGCGAATGGTATGTGCATGCTTGCAGCAAATTGTGGCATCAACTGTCGTTGGAACAGCAATTGAGCAACTTGGTTCAGGGATGGTTTGTTCATTAGTAGAACACATGTAGAAACACGCTTGTAACAAGTTGTGGGAGCAACAGGCGTTTGTGTCAGTTATTGAGCAGCTTAGATGACTGCTGGTGGATCCCACAGTTGATCATATTGGACCGACCATCGACAATGGTTTTGGGGGTCACTGCAACAGGGTCGTTTTCGGAGTCCGAGTGATCAGGACTCCCAAACCTACCTTTGCCACAAGTGCCAGGCCAGGAGGCCGATGACCCCCCACAGCCCGAACACAACCACCCAAGAGCATCCCTTCAAAACAGCGGAGGTTGAAGGTGGGCACCCACTGGCAGGCTTCAAAGTCCCAAGGAAGAAGCGGCTCCAGCGCCGGCCAAGGTTGGACGTGAGGAGCTGGTGCTCATGGATGCGTCCACTGATGACATCATCTTGTGGAAAGAGAGACAGGAGGTCCAGGTTCATGGCGGAGGAGAGCCCCTGGGTGCAGTGCGAGGAGTTTGGCCCAGGCTTTGGGGTGGGGGCCTTTCCAGGAATGGGCTTTGGTGGATTTGGGGCACAGTGTGGCTATGGTGGCGTGGAAATGCTGCATGCACAGCTGATGGCAGCCAGGGAACAGTTGAGGTAATGCGTTGGTGATGTTCATACCACGCATGCTACATTGGTGCCACAAATCACATCAACCATGCGCAATAGATGTCTGGAAATGACGTTCTTTTGTATTTCTTTTGTTGATTGAAACCACCAGTTCAGCCACCATGCTCCAAGCACATGGTGGGTGCTGAAAACTGTGCAGCCATGTTGGGCATGTACCATGGGCTGAGGAGTGGTCTTCATTGCAGCAATGTCAACAGGGTGGATAGTGCAATTCGCTACCAGTGTTACCCGTGCCAAGTCCTAATCAACGAAGTGCGATTTTGCTCAGGATATTGTCAAAATTGTGGATTCTGGGTAACGCTCCCTCGCCCTCACACTGGGGGTTGCAGAACAGTAGCGATCGCCCACGAATGGCCAGAACACATTGGGCATGTAACCACTACTCAAGAACGGCAATGTGTAGCATGTCTTGGATAAAACTGCTGTTTGCACGAATATCCTTTCTGTGTGTGTCACACCTATTTCTGCACTATCTTGCTTGGTGGGTAAGAAATTTGCAGCTTTTCGGTTGGGACAGAGTTGGCTATGAATCGTTTGATGACTTCCATCTACAGAATCTTGAAGAAGTTGCCTGGTGCTCAGGGCTGTTCAGTTGTGAAAAGAATTCAGGAACTAGTAGATGTGTATGTGAACAGTGTGCATCATCGACCTGTAAGGACAAGGGCAACTCAAGCTGTCTTGCAGTTGCCTTCACAATACATTGCCAGGTCCTTGCACCTTGTAGGGCGCAACTGTGGCGATTGTCGCATGCTGATGGGCAGTGTCCATTGGACACAATGAATTCCTTCGCTCTATTGATATGTGTATTTGTAAGTGAGGATTTTGTGCTGTATGCAGGTTTCTGCCACAAAACCTTGCTGCCTTGGCCCTGTACACCCAGGCCCTCCAGAGCACCACACCGGACAGCCAGCTCCTGATGCCTGAAAGGCAATGCCAGTCCTTCCTGCCACAGGCGATGGCTGCCCACCTTGCACACCAGATGGGACTGCTGCGCACTGGCAGCCCTTGCACCACGCCCCATGGCCTGATCGCTGGACCACCTGTGCCCAAGAAACTGAAGCGAGAGGGGAGTGGTGTTCCTGACTGCGGATTCGATTTTCAGGTGTGCGTGCGTGCGTGCATGCGTGCGTGTATGCGTGCGTGTGTGCGTGCATGAGTGCGTGTGTGCATGCGTGCGTGCACGCGTGCTTGTCCACAAACTTTGCGTGGGACTCGAGTATTTCCATTGTTTCGAAATGTCCTTGCAGGCTGCAAAGAGAACTGACTCTGTATGGTCAGAGTACAGTGCAGACGTGTGCCATGACATGTATGCAATTGTTCACGTTGCTGGAATGAATACACCCGTTCGCTCATGCTATCCGTCTGAAGAGCAGGCGATACGACGTTTGGCTCACCCCCAATGTGAAATTCCAATTACATCCAGCCAAAGTTGTTGTCCCTATGCACAATCCAAGACGGGGCCCATTCACAAGAAATGCGATGTAGGGCGATTGGTGTCCGCAACTGTCCCTAATAATCCCACTCCAGAAAATCTGCTGCACCTCGTCCAAAGTCGATGCACAGGAACCCTTTGGTAAAAGAAAAGAGCAGAAAAGAAAAGAAAGGAAAAGAGTGTGTTGGATTCAATTCCAGAAATTCGATGCAACCCAGATCATGTTCTCCATCCCCATGAAGTGCCCCCTTGCTGTTTGTCCCAAATGACTTTGATGCGCCGCACGAACGTGGCCAGAACGGGAAGGCTGCTTCGGACCACGGCTGATAGCTCCCAAGGAATATCATCCTCCAGCTGGTTGCGGAGCATCTCCTGACAGTAGACTCGGATGTGATCATACTTGGGACAAACGGTGAAGATGTGATGACGATCTTCTATGCCCATGTGGCAGAAGCGGCAGGTCGGGAGGGGAGTCAGCGCTTTTTTGAAGAGAAAGCTGCGGCAGGGGAAATGGTCCACGAGAAACTCACCCCCAATGTGGGTTGCGGTGAAGCGCAGGGAGCATTCAGGCTCAAAGCAGATATCCCATCCCTGTGGCCTTTCTTGTCAGTAAGCCGCAAACACAGGCCACGTTCCCGCATCTATGCCCACCACATTTGCGACACACAATATACAACGCATCGTCCTCACTCTTTGCTTTGCCGCCACAGAGGGAGGGCTTCCAGGGCAGCTGCGCAGGGGGTTTCAAGCACAAGGCCAAAGCGTAGGGAGGCAGGAAAGAATGGAGCAAGGCAAGCGCTCGAGGAGCAAAGAAGCACAAGGGCGTTCGTGCTGTGGATTTCTGGAGTTGAGGGGAGGTTGGGCTGGGCGTTAAAGGGACTTGACACCTGGTGCACTTCCTGGTAGGCTGCATCCAGTTCTTTTGAGGGGTGGAGGAGCTCAGGGAGAGTGGGGACGTCGGGCGTGTCGCTGAGGCCGCGATGCGGGAGTAGAGTATTTTTCAGCGCACTGTTTTCTTCCAGCATTGTCTGAGGTCAGGACCAGGATTGTTCACCTTCATCGCCATCGTTCCTGGCTACACCGGTGCCTCGCCAGGCCGTGGGCCAGGGACAGTCATTCATTCGTTTGCACAGGACGTCTTTTCGATGGGATTCGTGGGCTGGACGTCTCGCGGCGCCACGGGGGCAATGGGGACCTCAGCGAATAAACTTGGCGACTGGAGGACAAGGTGCCCGTCGCGCAAAATTTAAGGAGCCACTTGCATTGGTGGCGCGGAGGCTGGGCGCGCCCACTTGCGTGCGCGTTTGTGTGTGTGCTGAGGGAGTTGGGAGCTTGTTTTTTTGTGCGTCACGCTGCGCTGTGGCGTGCGCATTCTGGTTTTCGTATGGTGTTCGGACAGCTGGGGCAAATTGACATGGGTAAAATAAAGAGGAGTGGGGGATGTGTCCACTCCCTTGCGGAAGGAGTCAGATGGATAGGCAGGCGCAGCGAAAGGGACACTTGGGGAATGCCGTAGTCTCAGTGTTGTTCTGTCCATTTGGGTCAGCTTTGAGGTTTGGACGTGTTGACAGAAGGTTGGCTGCGTTCTGAGGTTGGAGCGGTGCGCCAATTTGTTGGCCCAGCCTCCTGGTTTGGTTTTCCGTTTGGTTGCTTGACGCCCGCCGGTCGTGGATGGAGGTAGGAACTCTCTGTGTGGCGCTGCAATTTTCCGCGGCCTGCCCCAGATGGTCTGGGCGGGTCATCGGCAGGGCTGAGCTTTTGGAGAGGCAGCAGTCAATCGGTTCACTTGTGAAGGGCTGCACCACGCGCAAGGGCTTATCCGTCAATCGGATTCCCTCGCCTGAGGAAGGCCGTGTGTCATGTGCTTGTTCATCAAGCAGACAATTCATTCGAAGAGAAGATATTTGGAAATGAAGATCGTTCGAAGAGAAGATATGTCCAAGTAAGGAGATTCCAACATGTGTTGCCCAAGTGAAGTTTCCCAGAGGAAGGTGTACGTCGAGTTTGGCAAGTTGCGGGTGATTGTGGGCGGAAGTGGGACACGCCATTCCGCTTCGTCATTTGTACTCTTATTTTTAACCCAGAGACTCGCATGTGTGCCGAGGCTATTTTCTCAGTCTGTAAGCTGGTTCTGGACAGTGGTACAACCGTGCATCCAACAGTCGAAAAGGAACCGCCCAGCACACTGGAGATGCCCCGCATAGGACATGGATTGCTTTTATCACTTGGTTGCATTAATCGAAGGCATGATCAATGAGTTGTCTTTAGACGAAATGGCCGGCACCCCGCACACGCACATGCACACGCACACGCACACGCACACGCACATGCACGCAGAGAGAGAGAAAGAGAAAACAACGGCCTGGAGGCATGTCCGACATCGCCTCCAAAGGACGGCGATTGATCATGCCTTCGATGGGTGCCGGCCATTTCGTCTAAAGACAACTCGTCTAACGGACAACTGGTCTAAGGACATTACGTCTAATGGACAACTCGTCTAAAATTTCGTTGACCCGAGTTGACTCACTCATATCCACATCGCAGAAGCAGCCGGTGCCCCGGGGGCACTCACCCGTCCAGCGCATTCCCCTAAACCCAAAAAACAACTCACTCACATCCGCATTCCAGCTGAAGCCGGTGACCCGAGGGCCATCACCCGTTCAACGCATTCCCCTAACCCCAAAAACCAACTCACTCGCATCCGCATTCTTGCTGAAGCCAGTGACCTGAGGGCCCTCACCCGTTTAGTGCATTCCCCTAAACCCCAAAACAACTCACTCACATGCGCATTCTTGCTGAAGCCGGTGACCTGAGGGCCCTCACCCATTCAGCGCATTCCCCTAAAACCCCAAAACAACTCACTCACATGCGTGTAAATTTAGTACTCCACCACCCGGTTCCTTGTGTAGAGGTGCCCGTGAGCGTGGAGCTTCAACGCCCTTTGTCCACGAATCAATTCCCATTGTGGACTGGGGTCGCGTTGGCCTACCTCTCCCGTCGATCCACCTTCTTGCCTTGGCGGATCTGCGGGCTCCATGTCTGCCAGTCGCCTCTCCCTTTCGCCACCCTCCCCCGTCGATCTATTTTCGCCCCTTGGAGGATCCGCCGGCTCCATCGCCGACGATCGGAGCAGACGTTCGGCTACATCCCCCGTCGATCCACCTCCGCGCCCGGTAGAATCTCCGCTTTCCATAGCTGCCAATCGACGCCGCACACTGCGCAAACCGTGGCACACCCGCCAGCCACGCGCCTGGATGGGCGCTCACCCTCCCATGCTGTCCCGCCCCCTGTGTGCGCGTCTGGAACGCGCCCAGGAACCAGTTCGGAATGCAGCCCGCCAGCCCGCCACTAACGGAATGAAATGTAATTGTAGCTTAAATGCAGTTAATGGGCGCTGTTTAGACGAGTTGAGTCAACTCGTCTAAAGACAACCCGTCTAACACAAAGACGGAGTCAATGTCACCATTGACTTCACCATAGGGCACTTGAACACACGCGACGGCTTTGAAAACGAGTGGTATTCATAACAGGGAAGTTTGTGTCACAGGTACACAACCAACCCGTGGCTGCGTTGAGGGTGGATAACTCGTTAGACGAGTTGTCCTTAGACCAAATGTCCTTAGACCACTTGTCCGTTAGACGAGTTGTCTTTAGACGAATTGGCCGGACATCGCGTGTGTGTGTGTGTGTGTTTTTTGTTTTGGAACTCTAATGTATTACATCAGAAGATAACCAAAGGAGCTCCTCCACAAATCGTAAAGTATGCAAAGACCCTTTTCCAGCAAAAGCTGATGCAGAATTGTAAACAGGGGATGAGAAAAGCGTGAATGTTCTAAGAAACCTAGTATTCCTATGGGGGAGTCCTGACCGCCAAAATGAAATGTCATGTCAGACAATGTGCATCATGTAATGTCCCAAACATCCCAGAGTGTTCGGAAAAGTCCCAATGTACCCCATATCCGTTGCTCAGTCTGATTCCTAGCATTGATCATAACCCTATCGAGATAAAGAAACAACTTCTCAATATTCAGTGCGTGCCCATCGAGTGGCCCAAAGAAACCTGGCCAAAAGCGGTGAATATGTCCAGAAAGAAACTCCCAAGTCCAATTACCATGTCCACATGTCAACTATTGGATCTCATTGGTTAGCTGCTACCGCAAAACAACAAAACGCGGACAATAGAAAAGTCGGTGGTTTTTATCGTCAATAGGATGGTAACACCATGTGCAATGGAGATCATCGATAAGGTGGAAGCGATGTAGATAGGCATCAGTGGGATAGTGGCCCATGAGGAATTGAGCCACTAGAGGCACATCGCGACGTGAGAGGTCTTGGGTTCAGTTCAAAAGTAGGAACACTAAGGCATGACTTCATACAACTGGCGGCCACAAATGGAAGTATGCTACAATGCCTCAAGGCGAGAGACATAGTGCTGACGAATTGATGTCTTCAATGTCATATGGGAATGTGGGACAGAGATGACCTCAAGTTGGTCAGGATCAGTAGCCGCCTGGCAAGCTATAAGGTTTGCAACATTGTGTTCACTAATGCCGATATGTCTTGGGATCCACCATAGTCGAAGACAAGAATTGTAGGTATATAAGTTCAACAAGGCTTGGCAAATGGAGACTACAATTTGTTGGCCACCTTGTCAACACTATATGGCTTATAAGGCAAACATAGGGTCACAGACAATAGTGCACCGATGAAAGGGGGCAAATTGTGGTGCATAAAGAGAGGCAAGGAATATGGCAATCAATTCCGTGTGTGTGCTAGAATGATAGCCCATGAAGCGAACAATAGTCGAATGACCAATAGTGTTTGAGCCTCTAAAAAAGACAACAGATGAGCCACATAAGTGCGTATGGGGATTTGGAGTTAGTGACCCATCTGTGAATATCCAGAGGTGTCAGGTGTAGAAGCAGCGCGTGCACTGCAGACACAATCCAATGTCATTTCCCTATCAAAGAGAGAGAGGGAAAGGCAAGAATCATCAAAAGTGGGGTCAGTGTACCACTAAGTGCTTTTCAACATTTTGAAGAATGTGGAGTGGAAGGTGAGTGGAAAGGGTTGTGAGTTCAGATTGAAGAATATCAATTGGCGCCATCGTAGACTGTCATGCACGCGGATTGCTTTGCATAGTGTGTTTCACAGAAATGTGGCCAAAATGTTGGTCGCAGTTTTGACGACATACGCATCTGTGGAGGTGCGGCCATCTGGATACGTGATCATAACATTTCATACTGCGCGATGTTCTGATGCACCATGACGAACAATATATCCTGGTTGCTGAATTCTCTGAAACCATACACCCGTTTTCCGTCGTGTGGGAACTTTATTCTCGGGAGAAACAATTGCCCACAATCTTGACGATGAAGCCCATGTGCCGACGGAGTGCTCTGGGCGAACTGCACCAAAGAGGCAACCCTCCTGTGCAAAGGCCAACTATCGGCATACCGTCCCTGCTTTGTGCCAGGTGAAGTGACAGGGATGCTGACTTCTGTGCACAACATTCTATTCCCCAGTCGCCCCTCTCCCCAACCATTCGTAAGTGTTTCTTAACCACACACTTGGTCTGCTGCACTCCAGGACTTCTAACCTCCTTTTCTCCGACCGAAACGAGATCCAGGTGCTGTGCCACCAAGGATATCCGTTATCTGAAGTGTTTTCCCATCCTACTTTCATTGCCCTTTGAGGCAACGATCGGTGTGTGATACGTCAGCAGCCTTTGTTGCGCGATCATCCCTTTGCATCTGAGATGTCTGTA